TATACACACACACACACACACACACACACACACACACACACACACACACACACACACACACACAGTATCTACAAATTTGGCCAGAAAATAATTATACATGTTTGTTAATTGATTGTTAGAATATAAAAAAATTTACAATATTAGAATACAGAGAACTTCATACTTAAGCTAACATGATAATTTTGAAAGCCTAACAAAATTATTTTTGACTCTACATCTGATCAAATATTTTGACAAAATTGTTTTTCGTGTAAATTCTAATAGTAAAATCAGTTAGAAAGAAAAAAAAAACATCAAGCTTTTATCTCTTTTACTAGATACCAAAAGTATGGATTGAGAATCCATCCGAGGTACGAGTGGCGCAATGGGCGAACGTCAGTACCGAAAATGGAATGGCACAATTAAAATTCACCCTATCTTCGGAGCCAAGTCCGGTAATACGATCGTGACTCCAAAGTCGAAGGGAATATTGATAACGAAATATACTAAAGATGCTTTTTGTGCTACTCTAGGGTACCTGGGAAATTAAAGTGGAAAAGAGAAGATCGCAACCGCAATTGGTCCATACAACTGTATTCGAGGTGAAGAAGTACGTTCTGCCGAGGTTCCAAGTGACCATAACTTCACCGGGATACATCCTCGCGGATGCGGAGAACGTCACGTGGAACATATGTGCAAAGTAAATCCTCCGTTCCGATAGCCGCCGGCGAATCGAGGCGTTTGCCGTATCTGCACGAGACTATCTTATTATGTTTTATAGATACAGCTATGGCAAACCGGTCAAGGGTAAATTGCTCTTAAAATCAACGCCTCAGATACCAACATGGAGGAGGAAGCCTAATCTCCCGGAAATACATTACGAAACGGAGGTCAATAACTCCTTTAATTGTTAATATTTACACTATAAACATGAATCAAATTATATCTGGTTTATAAAGATCTGGCTAATATAAGATTTGGCTTGAATATTTTTTCATATGACTTTCGGTATTCCGCGAAGGATTCAAAACTAATCGATCGTTACAGCTGGATTCGCCGGACGGTTGCACCGAATTTGTGCTGTCGGGCGCGGTGCTCGGGCTTGCTCAATGGAAAGTGGCACCGAACAATATCGTCCTCATAGCTAACTTTACTGAAACTGGCACCGGCATAGTAGAAACAACGATCAGTCGAACCGTGGTCGTGCATCAAACCTTAAAACTGGAATTTCTACCGTACACGCCAAAATACTTCAAGCTGGGTTTGCCGTATCACGGAAAGGTATAAGTCGCGAGTAATCGATAGAACTCGTAGCTCCTATTTTTAATTCTTCTATATACTTTATGTATTTATAAATCTTTCGGAATCTCTGTTTTGTGTGATTCTAAATGAAATATATTTTTTATGAGATAAATGTCTTTTACAGTTACGTGTCTCGCGACACGACGACACTCCGGCGCCGCATGAGAAGATTCAGCTTTGCGTGCGAGTACGCGGTAAGGACGAGTGGCTTCGCGTGGTAGTCGAATGCCGCAACTTCACATCCTCGTCCGACGGCTTCGTCGATTTTGTCGTACCACCGCCCCACAAGAACATCGTCCTGCTGAGTTTCGTCGCGACTGGAGTCGACTATCCTACGAAATATTATTCGCCGGACACGCGTTGGCGAGTACGTTATACGGATATATTAAATAGTTATCATACATTCTGAAACAAGAGTTACCTCCAAGCGATTACATACAAGATATTTTATTCTTATTCAGACATTTTCTTGAGTTATTAATTCTCGAATAATTTTTCAATAATTTAAAATCTGTAAAGTTGCACCTGTAATTTATCGCGATTAGGTTTTCATGGATCAACCATCGGCGCATATTGAGGTGAATCCTTGGTACTCACCATCGGACAGCTATCTGGCGGTAGCCCGGGGATATCAACCGATCGTGTGCGGTGAAAAATACTCGTTCAACGTTATGTACACGGTGCCGGCGAAAAGCAAAAGCAACGAGTCCATTTCCTTCCATTACTCAATCAATTCCAAGGGAGATTTATTGATATACGGTCATGTCAAACATCGGCCGACTAGAGACACGGTTTTGAATTACTCGGAATTCCGAAATCTCCTAGGTGCCGTCGAAACGCCAGGAAATAAGACGGATCAGGGCACCGTTGCTCACAGGTATTATATTTTACACAGGTAATATTTTATCACTCCAAGAGTATTTTTCAAAATGTATTTTCAAAAATCTTTAAAGAATTTTATTTACTTAAAAGAATTGGGAAACATAAATTGTAAAATTTTTCATATTGTGACTTTTAATTCTTTTTTTTTTTTAAGATTTCCTCTTAGCGTCAAGATCACCCCATCTATGGCACCAGTTTCCGAATTGCTGCTCTACTACGTTCGTTTGGACGGTGAGATCATCGCTACCACGTATTCCATCAAAGTGGGACATTGCTTCGAGAACAAAGTAAAGACCGCCTGGCATACCGATGCTCAAACCCCCGGAACAGCCACTCAGTATCACGTGGAAGCCGCCCCTTGGTCCCTCTGCGGCATCTCGGCGGTCGACAAGTCGACTCGTTTCTTAGCAGGAGCCAAAGCGAATTTGATTGACGCTGATCAGATCTTCGAGCGGTTGAAGAGATTCATGGAACCTCTCGAGCCGGAGCCACGTCCTATCTGGACGTGGACTCATTGCAAAGGTATGCAAGATGTCTATGCAGATAAACCAAATACAACAGTACATTAATCTTTAGTTCTCTTACCTTAATATATGTTTTTATTGGATTTTCTAATGTTTATTATTCAAAGTCATTACGATGGAGTCGATAAAATTTATTGAAAATTTATTTATGTAGAAGAAAAAAATTGTAAAAAAACTCATTCCTATATAAAAAAAAATAATATTATTTTGTTGTTTTAACATAAACTTAATTTATAAATAAAATATTAAATTTATTTGATGATATTGTAATTATTTTACTATTTAGAATATTTTAATTTCCAAAAATTATGATATTCTAATTTAATATAAATAATGATTTTTAAAATTAATTTTTAATTTAACTAAAGTTAATTTAATTTTAACGCAACTTTCAACTGATTGTAAGTTAGTTTTTTATTCATGTAACTTTTAACTAAATTAATTTTAAAGTCACTAACTTTAATTTAATTTCGTTAAAAAATAATATTAACTATCCAATCCTCTCTCTACGAAATAAAAGTTTATATATTTCTAAAAACAAATGATTATGACATTATTCGCTTAACAATAGAACAATTTGTTCCGTAAAACAATTTATTTGATCTGACATGTAAATTCCTCGCAGCTACGTCATACGAAGAAACAATGAACGTGGAATTCGATCATCTGCCAATGCCCGCGTTTGAGGAATCACCCACGTGGGCACGTAAACGAAGAAGAAGAACGGCAATATACAACGGACTTGTGAATTACGTAGACGCCATACAAGCGTTCGATGTGAGAACTTTTTGGAAATGTAAATAAATTCTAAGATTATAAGAAGGGTAATTAAATGTCAATTGGATCCTTCTTCGTATTTCAGGACTTTGGAGCTGTCGTGATGAGTGATCTGATACTCGAAACGCGACCATGTCTTCAACGTCTTCGCCTAAGAGGAAGAGCCAGGAGTAGGAGTAAGAGCCCGATTCCTTTCCTGTCGGCCTCCTCGGAGCCTCTACCGGATACGGTAGACGCTGGTGCGTTAAAGAAACAAGTTATTAAGATACATAAGTAGCTTTCCAGAGTAGCTTTTCTGTTTTACGTCCTATATTTGTTATACTGTATCATCTTAATAGGAATGTTTAAAATGGCGAAGACTTTGCCCATGGCGTATCCTTTATTAAATGTGGGTCCCGAGCAGGGTGGATACGTGGATCAAGTGCCGGACCAGCCTACTCTCAGATCTTATTTTCCCGAAACGTGGCTGTGGGAATTGGTGCCGACAGGGTATATAT